ACGACAAAGATATATGGGCGGCACTCTGTTACTGCCGCACTTCCACTCTCTTCCTCCTGCATGCTATTAAGCCAGAGGCTCAGCTCATATAAATGAGGGAGAGAGGGTGAAATACACAAAGGGAGGGATCCAGCCTCTACGCTGCACTATACTTCTCATCCCACACCAAAATACTCCCTCTGCAATTACGCTGTCAGCCATTCAAAGCCTGGAGTCACATGTCTCTCTTCACAGTCTACCTGTGATTATGTGATTGTGATCTGTGTGAGGCTAGCTGAACTTTGTAGCCTTGGCTGTGGTGTGTTTTACCTTCAGCACCCCTGGCCTGGGCTGCCTGCACCCCGCTCTATAATCACTACCAGAGTCTCTGGCAGAGCTGCCCTCCCCTCTCTTCCTCCCTCCCTCCCTCCACCTCCTCCCTCGGCCCCTGGTTTCTTGTCAGTCGTGATTAATGGCACTAGGGCCCCGGCGCGGCTTACGCTGCCAGTTCCAGCGATGTTCCCTTGATACTTAATGAACTCTGACAAACTTCTTTTCCCTTGCTCTGTTGTTCCCTTTACCCTCCACCACCCCGCCCCTCCCTGTTTAAAATGCACGACACAGAGCTGCCACTGCAGCACCTTGGGGTTAGCTCTGGTCCTTTGTAAATTTCTCAAGAGGCCAATGTCTAAAAATAAAGCACCACAACCATTTAAGTGTCAAGACCCCTGATTGTGTATTACTTCTGGTGGCTTGTTTGGTTATTCGAGATTAAATAAAATGACTTTTTTGCCCTTTCAATTTTTTTTTAATAAATGTAAAACTTTACTTTAGTTGTTTTTTATCAATAGGCAAAAGCTGCAAATTAATGGCACACCTTCTGCAAAATAGCAGGGAAGGGCCCTGAAATGTTCAAATCCTAGCAAACTGAGGCAGAGGGATAATGCAGAGCTCCACGGTTTCCTTGTGAAAACGAAGCAGTGCATCTCAGAAGGTCTTTGTTGCCACCTGCTGTTCCTCTTAGGAAACTGGAGGAAGCTTTTTACTCTTCAACGTTAGGAT